AACATTGAATTAAATTGCAATATCTAAAATATTTCATGCAGCATCCAACATCCCAATAATATTTTGCTAGAACAAAGCGATACATTTTTGTTTTAATGAGAAGTACATTATAGATAGATCACCATACTATAATTGCAGATTTGTTTGTTTGTTTTTTACACAAATTTATATTTTAATCTTTGTTTTCACTTCACTATGAGTTAATGCAGCTTTGCTGACACAGTTTTTATTGTGCAACCAAACCCTCCTTCAGCTCAGCCCCTGCTGACCGTCCAGGCAGACCCACCATTAGTGCAAATGTGAACAAAAAGCTCACAACACACTCAGGACTTTATTAACTTTATTATATCCTTCCCTACAGGGAGCCATCAAACGAATGACAACCCGTTCATTTGCAACATGAAACAAAAAGTTAAACGAATGCCGTACTCACAGTATTTGTGCAACGTCACACAGCTCTACATAGGCGCCTGTGTAGTCTACATCATATTTCTCACTAATGAGGTGCAGTCATTGCTCCCTGGGCGACACGGATGATAAATATGCTCCAATCACATGTGCTGTTAAGACATTCTGTGTTAAGGATGGTATGGGGACAGAGATGTGCGGTGCGGAAGTGAGGCGGAAGCCAACACGAGAAACGCTGGAGTCTGCAACGGTCCCAGGGCCTTCTCCTGCCACTCTGTGAGCACAACGAGTATCCACCTGAGGGCGCTGTAACAGAGAACCATGAAACACAGCACATGTTAGGAGCTTAATTAGCTTTGCTGTGAGCAAAGCAGCAAATCCCACTTTAACAGGGGGATATTTCAATAAGTAGGAATCACAACCTCTGAGTTCTCTGACCGTTTATATCTCCTCCTAAATGAAAGGCTTTGTGTTCGTGTTTGACCTTCATGACGCTGTCGAAGAATTTGTCTTTCATCAAAAAAGGGATTTAAAAATGATCATCTCAATACCTTAAATTACATTTTAACCACTGCAGACTATATGATTACGATAAGATGTGTCCACTTTACCATTAAAACTGTCGCAAAATTCTTAACTTGAATATGTAGTACTGTGCAAAAGTCCCGAGCCACTCTTCATGTCTTTATATTTTACTTTCAAGGAGCCAGAATTTCTTGTAAATAGTCTTCAGTGATAATTATTTGTAATCTGAAGGTCATTCCAAGTTTTTCTTTGGACATTATAATAATAATAATAATAACTTTATTTATAAAGCGCTTTCAGACAAAGTGCTGTACAGCTATAAAGAGATACATAAATAAACGTGATGCATAGCAATACAAGTTAAAAACGCAATAACGAGTTAAAAACATAACAAAAGTTAAAAACGATAAAAATGTAAAAAAAACACAAAACAAACTAAAAGCATAGAATTAAGACATGTAGGACAGGGTGAACAAGTGGGTCTTTAAAAACCTCCACGGAGCATGCCTGCCTGATATCTTGAGGGAGGTTGTTCCACAAAAATTGGGCATGAAGAGAAAAAGCACGCTCTCCAACAGTCTTTGTTCTGGCTCTAGGAACTTTTAAAAGGCCAGAGTCCTGAGATCGGAGAGCACGGGATCGAACATGAAGGTGCAAAAAGATCAGAGAGGTATGAAGGTGCCAAACCATTTAAAGCCTTGTAGGTGAGCAGCAGGACCTTAAAATCTGCTTGAACCTGACAAGGTAGCCAATGAAAGGATTTCGATACAGGGGTAATGTGCTCAAATTTTCCAGTTTTAGTTAAAATGCGAGCAGCTGCATTTTGCACCATCTGTAAACCTCTAAAACTTTTCTTTGGTAGCCCAGAAAGGAGAGCATTACAATAATAAATACGTGAAGACACAAATGCTCAATCAAATCAAATAAACAAGATGTGTGGAATTTTATCTTTAATTCAACATGTTTAACAAAGCTATTGCCATTTTTAGCCCGGCAACTGAATGACAGGCAAATTTTATGGTAAATGAAGCCTGTTCTCTTCTTATTCCATGATAAATTCCCAAAGGTTGTTTTACATTATCCGAGTACTTATGGACCTAACTGTCTGCAGACATGAAAGAAATCACCTTTTGTAGCAGGTCTTGCATGTTTAAAAAACATCCTGCATATACATGTTAAATTTGGTTTAAAAAGAATATATTAAGACAGTTTGCATTCACAAGAGGCAATAATTCCAGCCTAAAGCTCATTCGTGCACATCATACAACACTAAATACATCCCTGCAGCCTCCCACCTCCTCACTGGTAGAACTTAATCTCAGTGTCCACGCAATCAAAAAATAAGTCCCCCAGTTCCTCTCCGGGTATCTCTCCGCTGAGCATGGCTGCGATCTCGCTCAGACACTGAGACTCCAGGTCCCTTAAAATGTTGTAGACAGCTAGACCTTCATCCTGAGACAGAACAGAGAGAAAACCCACAGAGATGCCATGAGAATAACAGTAACACCCAGGTTAGATCATACACAGCTGTGAAACCTGATTTGATGTGAAACCTGACTTTTTCCTCCTAAATTGATGCGTCTTTCATCATCATAAGCTTCAGTCAGATTTTAAGAAGGAGTCAGATCCTGCTGAAAACAGTCCTGAATCCAGTACAACCCCACGTCTACGGTGGGAGATGCAGTCTGAATAACTGCAACTACAGACCTGCTTTTCTTTACCCAAATCCCACTGTGGTGTACAAAATGCACTTTGTATTCACTCTCGTGGCGTATTTATATTTTAAAATAACAAAATAATAAATCAGCGCTCTGTACAAATGTGAAATGATAAAATATTTACACCAACATCCAATCAACCATCAAACAATGATTGATAGAGTGACAGAAAGGTTATATTCAATGAATTATAAGAGAACTGAGTCTCTGAGTCAGTGGAGGAAGGTGCACTGCTGATGAATACTGTGTGAAGTCCAGTGAGAGGTCAGCGCGTAAACTCCAAGGAGAGTCTGTTTGGTTAAAAGGAGCCTTGCAACTCATTTCCTGCTCCGTTTCATTGTTGGACTCTAGTAGAGTAGAGTATACTGAGACAAGCTAAACAAAGCTATTTTAGCTCCACCCCCATTAAGGTGACCTCCCTTTAAACCAAACTTTCCTGATTGGCTTTACCTTCCAAACAAATGTTTGAATATACTTTTAGTTAACTAACAGGAAAGAAAAAACTAACACAACTATGATAAAAACTGCAAATGCAGATATTTGTCAAATCTGCACTTGACAAAAATGTAGAAAGCACCAAACTATGGTAGCAACAGAGTTTGCAGAATAACAGAAGTTAGGAAAATTTTAGCAAGATACCAATAAAAACTAAACTAAAATGCACAGCCAGAGCTGATGACCATGTAAGTGCTCAACCTTTTTTGCACCAGGGACCAGTTTATGTTTGGCCTTTATGGTGCCGCGGATAAATAAAGATAAATAAAACCAAAAAAAGAAAAGAAAACTTATTCATTCACACAGGAAAAGACCCAGAGAAACCGAGTTAATAATAAAAACTATTTTAAAAAAAAGATAAAAACCCTGAAAATCATAAATTTCACACCCGAGCCTCAACTTTTGCAGCAAAGTACCAAACAGCTCACAGACTGGTACCGGTCTGTGGCCCAGGGGTTGGGGAGCGCTGATATGAGGGATATCCACTCTCTATGACATCATACAGAGTCAAGAGTTTAAAAAAGAGAGAGAGAGAGAGAGAGAATAGGATTACTTGTGCACATGCTGAGATAATAATTTGAAACATTTTTAATATTAAATATAACAGAAAATATATGCGAATACTAAATAGATCCACGCTGAAGAATTTCCATTTAATTCTTCATCTTCTGGATCTTTGTCCTAACGTTTCCGCATTGGAACAGACCAATTTTAAAGGCTTTGAAAAAACTGTTTCCTCAAACTACAAAAGAAAAGATGAAGTCATGAGTAAAAAAAGGAAACAACACTTATTTGGTGTAATGAGCAGCTTTTGATAGCTAACATTAGCAAAGCTACAAAAACATTTTGTATGCTCATTTTGTCCCGAGCCAAAATTCCAGCCCAAACAGGGCGCTGACCTTCCTCTGACTTCAGGTTCAGCTTGTAATCACGCACATAATGCCAGACAGGAAATCAGCTAAAATGTCTAAATGGAAAAACTGTTTGGAAGTTCTCTGGTGTCACAGTTTGAAACCCTGCTCTTTGGCTTTGAATGTGCACTTGTAGTGTGTTTATGTTTAGTCTGCCATGTGTCTTGTCTGCACCATCTGTGAGGTGCTGTTGTGTTTGGCTCTGCACTGGGAGTGTCTTCTCTGGGTTGTGCGACTCGCCTGTAATTTATCAGCAGCAACTCATCCGGATCGACTCTTTAACGAAAATAAATAAAAATTGATCCTGCTGTGAATGTTTACTCAATGAACCGGAACTTCATGCACTGCCATTATCTGTGCAGGACTATCATTGACCTAGGTCATCCATCAGTGCCCACCGGGTTGGTCTCCATGGTGTTGAGCGCCACCTGATGGGCCTTGTAGAGGTCATGTCTGCGGTCCACCTGGCTCTGAAAGCGAGGCTGCTTCCTCGCAGGGTCGTCCGGGCCAAACTGTGGGGAGACCACCCTCGGCACTGGGGTGGGACAGTCCGAGAAGATAAAAGGCTTGAATACAGACCTAGCAGGGTGGTAGGATTAGACAAGGAGAGAAAGAGGAGACTCAGAAATTCCCATCAACCCAAAGAAGATACAGAGGGTAGAAAATTAAAGATTAGAAGGGAAAGAAAACACTTTCACATTTCATATCAGAGGAGCTCATAAAGTTCTGTCGCTTGAGATTTAAATTTGTTCGGTTCAAGATCATCCTCTTTTGCACCTCTAAACTGTTTCCAGCTCTTCTGCTATTT